CTGCAACCCAGGCATATGCCCTGAATGGGAATATAACTGTGATCTCTTGGTTCATAGGTTGATGCTCAACCACTGAGCCATACCAGCTGGACTATCCATTTCTTCCTTTTTAAAAACCTTATTTTCAATCAAAACTTACCTTTCTCATTAGAAGACGATTTTATGTGAAAAGTTTTATATCATTTTGCTCATTTATAATCTAAACTAGTTTCTGTATGATGTCCTTTATGATGAAAAGCAATGAGAATTGTGCAAACATTTCTAAGGAGAGTGATCACAATTTTATTTACAGGTAATATTTGTTGTATCACCACATAAAGATGATGGACATTTTGTTGCCTTCTTTGTACAGCAGCACATTTATTTATTTATTTTTATTTTATTTAAAAAAAATTTTTTTTTGTTAATCCTCACCTGAGGATATTTTTCTATTGAATTTTTTAGAAAGAGTGGAAAGAAGCAGGAGAGACAGAGAGAGAGAGAGAGAGAGAGAGAGAGAGAGAGAGAGAGAGAGAGAGAGAGAACACTGATGTGAGAGATACATGGACCAGTTGCCTCCTACAGGTACCTGATCAAAGCCAGGGATCAAGACTGCCACCCGGGTATGTACCCTTGATTGTAATCGAACCTGGGATCCTAAGGCCGCACTCTAACCACTGAACCAAACTGGCCATGGCTACAGCAGCACATTGAAATTATTATTTTGAGATAACATGTTGGTATTCTTTTGCTTGATCCCCACTATATTTTGTTTTAAATGGATTCCCCAAACCAAAATACTTCTAACACTTTTTACCCTACTACAAATCCCATAGTGAATGTAATACTCTTCTTTCCCAGCACAGATTTATACTGGCAGTGCCTTTGAGCTTATGCACTTTTAATATTCTTTGAACTCTTATAGAATAGTGTATTGACCTGTATTTGTTAATATGTGTGTAGTTCATTCTTTTAGCAATTCCCTTCAATCCTAGTAATAGACATTTTCCTTAGATGTCTGCATATGTATTGCATTCTGCCTGTCTTGGTAGAGTCTTAATTTCCAGAAAGATAAAGCATATTTAAGTGATTTCCTCTTCTCCCTTCTCAATGCCTTCTTCTTGCCTTACTTTTATCTTTATTGACTTTTAAAGTTTTGTCTGAAGTAGTTATCAATAAATTTAATTGATAATTTCAAATTGGTGCATTTGAAATTATTTTTTCATAATACCTGTAATATATTATATAATTTATGCATATATCTTCTGTCATGACACCCAAGTTCATCCTCTTTAAAACTGCTTCAGCCAGCTTGAATGTGTAGTTTTTACTTGGATTGTTTTGAGAACAAATAAATCTGAACATTTAATTATTCCTTCAGTAGAAAATCTTTTCTAAATTATGCCAATGTGACATACTGTATTAAAAATATTCAGTTTTAAGGAGTACACATTAAAGCTAAACATTCTTTAATCCTGAAAATCATATTTAATGGTGTATGTATGCACAGAAGTCTTTGTACATTAACTATGTCTATGAAATATGCCAAAATATGTTTAGGGCTTATCAAACTAGAATAGTATCAAAAATGGAAGTTAAATGGCTAATAAAGGAATGAGATGGTGCACTGTGAACACTTGTAAGTTGCTCCTAGAGCATACATCTTCCTTAGGGTACTGGCAGAGAACCATTTTACCCTATGTGTGAAAACAGAAGCTTACCTTCTTCTTCTTCTTTTTTTTTTAAATATATTTTATTGAATTTTTACAGAGAGGAAGGGAGAGAGATAGAGAGCTAGAAACGTTGATGAGAGAGAAACATGGACCAGCTGCCTCTTGCACACCCCCTACCGGGAATGTGCCCACAACCAAGGTACATGCCCTTAACCAGAATCGAATCGGGGACCTTTCAGTCCACAGACCGACGCTCTACCACTGAGCCAAACCGGTTTCAGCAGAAGCTTACCTTCTATTTTCCTCAAGTACACCTATGGTTACTTTCCAGAACTGAGATGTTTTAGGACTAAAGGGTGTGTACCTGGTTCAGTGCATTATTAATGGAAAAAGAAAAAAAAAATCCTATCCTTTTTGCATTGTCTAAGAAAAAAAATCCAGGAAATCTGACATATGGAGGGGGAAGGCCAAAACAGAATGAGAATTAGCTTCTGTTCCTGACTAGAGACATTGTTTCCTTTGCTAATTTTCTTGGAATTTACTAAAGGGTATTCGAAGCTATCTCATGTGGTTTTCCCTTCCAGGCCCCCAAGGCATCATTCCATAGAATAACGATGACATGGACAAGGTGACTATAAAGGGACACACATAAGCTGATCTCTCTTCTCTACAGATGACAAAAATAGAAAGCTTTGAGCAAGAGTGGAAAGGCACACTGTCACTTGTCTCCCCCTGCCCCCCTTTCCGAAGAAGCTGGGCCACATTCTGCTCAGCCAACATGCTCCCAGAGGAATGTGATTTAACTTCCACTTTTCACACAGTAAGAAGCAACACTGCGGACCTGTCGGGAGGGTGATGGCAGCCTGGGAGGATTTTGGATGTTTTTCACTCCAGTGTTTTCATGTGACATGACTTTCATTCTCAATTTAGTTACATCTTGACCTGGAAAATGTAGCCACGGGTTGCCTGCCTTCCTTCGGCTTACCTTGGCCATGGTGTGCATTCCCCTTCTCCTCTTACTCCCACCCATGCAGCCTCCACCCCTTCTCCTAGAGCCTTGAAACCTTCTCCTAGAGCCTTTCTCTAGATGTCTCCAAGGGTATTTACTCTGCTTCCTTCAGAAGGGTCTTTACGTACAGGGAGAGAAAAAGGCCTTTGGGTCCTTGAAATACATAGAAGGAATATTCACCTAAATCAGTCTTAGTGGTTCCCCAGATCTGACTTTCCATATATCTAGCAGCTGTTTTAAGAACCCTATTGTGGTAAAGGAATTAATATTCCCCACTTCTTCCTAGCACCCACCTCCCCACCACTCCATTAAACGACTGATTTTTATGCATGAGATTATAGACAAGCCTTGGGTGACCTGTTTTTTTTTTTTTTTTTTTTTTTTTTTTTTTTTTTTTTAAATTTTTCCCTTCCCCCTCCCTCTTTTTTTCCTTGCGGTAAAATAGTGCTGAAGAAAGAGGGCACTAGTGTACAGCCCAGATCGCATCCTTGCGCCGTCTGGATTAGAGCTGAGGCGTCTGCTAACCGCGCGTGGCCGCGGTCCTCTGACCTGGGGACCATAGCGCTGTCTACCAGGACTCAGGTAGGACTCAAGCCCAGAATTCTCCAAGCCGACTCAGGTGAGCAGAAACCTCTCTCGGCGGTGAGAAACCCACCCCCCAGTGGCAGACAGTTACAATCTATGGGATTTTCCTCCTGGCCCTAGGGGCACCCTCGCTTATTTATTTATTTTCGTCCCACATCCCGGGAAGTGCTGGGACCCGTGGATGCCTGGGTTGTCTTCCTCCTCTTGCCTGCCTCAGCCCCCATGCTCCTTTATTCTCCGACTCTCACCTTGAAAAAGGAAGCCGAGCAGGGATGAGAGAGGGAGCCAACTTCAGCCCCAGGAGCGGCTGGAATTTGGCGCCTCTGTTCACCCCCACCCCCTTGCCGCCCCCTCTCCCCCGCCAAGCGGCCAGGTTTGAATATGCTTGCAAGAGCACTGACGGCCAGAATGAGGACTGAAGGGTGGTGAGGAGGCGAGGGGAGGGGAGGGGAGGTGTGTGTGTGTGTGTGTGTGTGTGTGTGTGTGTGTGTGTGTGTGTGAAGAATGCAGTGGGGGTGGTGATTGGAAGAGCGAAGTGGGAGCCGGGGGTGGTGGGCTGTCAGAGAATTGCAACTCGCTGATCCCTCCAGGCTCTGCCGGGGGAATGATTCTCTGGGCACCTGGACCGGGCGCTGTCCAGGGTTCTGAAGGCGGCGGGGCTGGGCTGCAACCGAGACAGCAACCTTGACGCTCTGTTCCCTTTCTAGCAAACTAAGCACAGCCAAAGGTCCCCATTTAGGCGAGTGCAGGGGCCCTTCCACCCCCATCGCAGGAAACAAGTTACCTTATGTGCACCCTTCCTCCCCGAACATCTACTGTAAGCCTGACTTTTTGGGCGGGGGGGGGGGGGAGAAGGGAGGGACATACCAAACTCCGATGTGCTAGATTTCACCAGGCATTACCTTAGTAACTGATAGGAATTTCCTCAAGCTGGCACATTGGTATTTACTACTTGGGTTGTACGCCGAGTGTCTCTTCAATCCCTTAAGCTAAAGCGAAAGGTGCCTTCCTTGTTAGCGCTTCCACCTTCTTAATGAGAGAGTTTCCAAATTTCTTCTGTGAAAAAGTTGATCTTTTCAAATCCTGAAAAGTTCGCTGAAGGTGAAAGATCTAGCTTCTCCTCCTCCCATTTCTCCTTTCCCCTACTCCCTTAAATCAGTAAGCATTGAGGACCTGGAGCGACTTGTGGCTGGAGGAGGGGGCGGGTCCGCAGGGCTCTCTGAGTCTCTCTGGATGGTGAGGGCACCCGGGGACCGGACGCATCACCTTCCGCTTGGACCAGAGCTGCCTCCCAAGCGGGTCCCTCCTGCCCATATCGTGATGTGCTGAGATGGACTGGACTGGGCAACTCTTCGCATCCCTGAGCCCTGAGTTTGACACGTGTGTTGACTGAGCTTGGATTTTCTTTCTTTCTTGTAGACAGACAGCTCTCAGCTCACCGCTGGCTGCCACCGCGACGCCCACTGTCCCCTTGATCCGTTTACCTTGGTGCACCGGTGAAGAAAGGGCATTCGAATCCGCCTAGAAACGCCCCCTGGGAGCGGAGGTGGTCCTGGAGGACCAGGAGCGGGAGGCGGAGGGGAAGGAGGCTGCGGTGCAGGCGGCGAAAACGCTGGGAGAGCGGTGCTGGCGAGCAGGACCCAGCGGGCAGAGGCAGGCGTGGGGCGTCCCCCCGCGGTGCGCGCCCAGAGCCCGCGGCTGCGGGACCAGCGTGGGAGCGCGGCCGGCCGGCGGTGGACGGCGTCCTCGGCACCATGGTCCGGCTCCTGCTGGTTTTCTTCCCCGCGATCTTTTGGGAGATGTCCCTTCTGCCCAGGAGCCCTGGCAGGCAAATGCTGCTGGCGGGAGCCTCGTCTCAGCGTTCGGTGGCCAGAATGGACGGAGATGTCATCATCGGGGCCCTCTTCTCAGTCCACCACCAGCCTCCAGCCGAAAAGGTGCCGGAGAGGAAGTGCGGGGAGATCCGGGAGCAGTATGGCATCCAGAGGGTGGAGGCTATGTTTCACACCTTGGATAAGATCAACGCGGACCCAGTCCTCCTGCCCAACATCACGCTGGGCAGCGAGATCCGGGACTCCTGCTGGCACTCCTCCGTGGCTCTGGAGCAGAGCATTGAGTTCATCAGGGACTCCCTGATTTCCATTCGAGACGAGAAGGATGGACTCAACCGGTGCCTGCCGGATGGGCAGCCCCTCCCCCCAGGCAGGACTAAGAAGCCCATTGCGGGTGTAATCGGCCCGGGCTCCAGCTCTGTAGCCATCCAAGTGCAGAACCTGCTCCAGCTCTTCGACATCCCCCAGATCGCATACTCGGCCACGAGTATCGACCTGAGTGACAAAACTTTGTACAAATACTTCCTGAGAGTTGTCCCTTCTGACACTTTGCAGGCAAGGGCTATGCTTGACATAGTCAAGCGCTACAATTGGACCTATGTCTCTGCAGTCCACACAGAAGGTAGGCATTGCATTTGGGGAAAGAAAGGTGCTGAAAAAGCCAGGCTGTTGCATGATGTGCGTTTGGGCCCATAGTATCTTTCCTGTTTCCTCCCCCGTCCCCCACCCCAGCCCTGTGGGGAACAGACTCTGCCCTTCTCAGCACAGGCCCACGCAGGCATTGTCTTTAATGCCTATTCTGGTATAAATGCAGTGCAGGAGAACTGTGTCCCATATGTTTCTAGGGATAGAAGGAGCATAAAAGATGCCCAACTCTCCATGGACAGTGTCCAACAGATTTTGGACTTACATGCTTGTTAGCCCTCATTTTCTAAGTTTGTGTTTGGTAGACTTATTTGCCCAAGGTATCATCCCACTCTTAAGTGACTGGCTCTGGTTTTCCAGAATAATCCATCCAGTATGAGAAATTAAACAAAAAATTCACTGGCCCTTAAATTGGTACTGAAATCTTTATCTTGTCTCAAACAGCTGAAGGTGCTTCTTTGTCCTAATGTGCCCCTTTGTACCCGCACAAGACTCCCTTGTGAATGCTGGATTTCTGCGGTCATCTCCCCCAGAACATCAGATACTTATATTTTAAATTCCGGGGTGCCTTAGATACAAAGGAAAAGTGAATAATTTAAATCACTTCTTTATTTTCTTCCCACTACATATGTTAAAATTGTCTATATGTTTTATGAGAAATAGTGACTGATGATCTCTTTAATTAGAGTTTTGATTTCTAGTCTTTTTCTTTTAAACAATGGCTGCTCGTTAGAATTTAAAGTTAGACCAATGATAAATTACAACTAAAAGGATAGTTGATATCAGGTTTAAAATTACTTTTTAAAAATAGAGGATTACCTGAGGTCAAAACTCTGGTATTTATACAATCCTACAGATATAAATTCTCAAAGAACTTCTTTATATAAAGATTTTCTTTACTCTCTTCATCTTAGCCTATATAATTTTTTGGATAAAATGAGTCTTTTGAGTCATCTGCTTTTAACTCCCTTGCTAGGTTTATGAAGAAAATGAGACCCTGGTTATACATTAATGTCTAGGATAATTCACATGCATATGCTGGCATATGAAAAGAATCTTGAGAGTATTGCTGCATTTATATTCCTGTATATAAAATTATTAAGACAAAGGCCATTGGCATGACTTCATATTCTTTTAACAATCACACAATATGCAGTTACCAGTGTGAAGTTTGGTGGCAGAAATTAAAAATCATTCTTACTGAAGTGGTTATATGGTTTTTGTTAATGGAAACAAATGCTTTACTTTATTAAGGGAACAGAGTTTTTATGACAAACATTAAAAATAATGTAGAATTAATTATATACTATAATTTTAGACCTTGCTTTTGAAAAACAACTTTCTCCTGCAATATTGTGACTTTTAACAACTGACTCATGTTTCTGAATCTTAATTTTTAATAGTAAATTGCTTCAGAGCCCCCACCATTTTTATTAACAAAAATCTTATTACTTTTGTTGAGATGTAAATTAAAATTAAAATGTCAGCCCCTTACATTTTAATGTTCAATGTTCATTTCTTACATTTTAATGTTTAATATAGTTTCCTCTAGTCCTCAGATGAAACATCTTGAAAGCACAGATTAAACATTGTTAATTATCAGCATTAGAGAGATCTCTAAGGGGATGACAAAATCTAGAGTGAATGTGGTTTAATTAAATATTTAATACTTTTCCCTCCATTGAATTAGGTAATTGATTATAGATATTAGAAGTGTAAATACCTCCTTCAAGAAAAGGTAATATATCCTCATCTTGATAGAGTAGTTTTATTTTCCATATTTTATTATAAGTTTATTTTTGGGGGGTGGTGAGATGTTGAGAAAAGACCCCCCCTTTCTTCAATCTGTTTTCCAGTTGCATCACTTTACTAAAAATAATTGCTAATAGTGGGCTGCTTTCTGACATCTAGAATTATGTTTTTGAAAAATTAATTGGACCTGTGTTTACCAATTCTATTGAGGAAGGACTCATATTAAAATATTACCCTTGTGTTAGTTGGACTTTGTTTCTTTTCTGCCTTCTGACTGGTGTTGTGTGGGAGGGATAATGTCTCCGTACTATTACACTTGATTTCAGACTAGATTGTGTTCATAGAACACAGAGTTCACTTTGGTGTCTATTTTATTACCAAGAGATTATGCCATTTGCCTTGCCTTTTATATATGATATCTTATTTTCTCAAAGAGAATTTATTTCTTCTCTTATTAGACTTAATATCTGTGGAAACAAAGTTGTTTTTATTTTCTTCTATCAGCAAAGAAGAACTACCACAGCCTCCTTTATATAAGTTCCAACTGTAAATTTGCTTTTCCTGAGGTTCTGCCCTTCTGCTTCTACTGGCCTGTAGGCAGTTTTTTGCATCATTTAGTAATTTTTCTGCTTTCAGACTGATGGGGTCACCTACTGGTGATAGTTCCCTGTCATAAAACAGCTAAGACCACATATCAGTGTTGCTTCTGCCATCTGTGCACTATTTAGGAAGGCGGTCAGTTTGTCTGGGTATTAGCAATTTGGATCTTAGAAATTCTGAAACCTCCGGTGACCTTCACCTCTCCTTTCCAAATTAGCTATTCTCTAGTCAATTTACCATCACAATTTCTCCTATTAGAAGTTAGCCTACAACAGTTAATATCAAAATAACTAAGTGACTAGACTGGTGTACTTCATTTCTATGGTTAATTTTGATAGACTTTAAAATCATAGGTGGAACACCCTATTCTTTGAATGTTCCAATTTTTTAATATTCCTGTGTTAGTTCATTTTTTGTCAACATAGAGCTTAGAGATATTTTCTAGTTTTGCTTTTTAACCAGCTAGAATTCAGTTGTTATATTTTTGCATACTTTTAAAATCTTCTATAATGTCATGATGCCACACTTGTTTGTCTTCTGGTCATGACAACTGTCAGTTTACCTGACATAAAACTTACCTGCAATAAGGTCTCCAGAAATTTGGGGGGACTGGTTCCTGAGGGGAATATTGAAATATAATCTGCCAAATGGGGGCTCTGAAGCAATAGAATTTTATCCACAAATAAAAATTGAATGCACTTTGGAGGAAGTGAATTCTTACTGAAATTTATAAGGAGATACATTAGGTAAGGACTGGAAAAGTAATTTTAAAAAGGTAATTATTGTAGAATTTTGGGTACTGAGTTACTAAAGTGTTTGAGAAGAATACAAGGTGTTCCAAAGGAGTAGTTTATGTGACAATTTATTGTGCAAAGAGTTAGAGACAAAAAGGGGTCGAAGCTACCTTCAGATTTAAAATTTTGGAGGACCAAAAAGATTTTGGTGCAATTAATAGATTTGTGATAAGTAGGTTTCCAAACCATAATCTGTTAGGTTTAAACAACATGGACTTAAATTTTATATGTTAAATATGATGTGAACATTAACTAAGAGCACATACATTAAAAACCAGTGATAGTTGTGAGATTTTCTATTTGTATTTTAAAAAAAAAAGTGTTCACATCCAAGTAAGCCTTATTTACCCACAACCTTGATTCTTTGGCTGACTTACCAAGGAACTTGTGAGTTGGCCTCTTTAAACTCTGACTTTTTACATTTTAAACATTTTATAAGGTGGTTTTTGAAAACTATATTATATCGTTTCTAACTTCTTTTAAAGAAATTGCTTAATTTAATACATAATTTTCTTGAATATACCAAATAATCAGTATGAATATCAATTGTTACATGTGCTGGGACACAGTGGAGATCTTGAAGCCAGTTGAAACCAATGTCCCCATATTAACATACTTTTGAGATTTTTATATTTGTTTTTGTCTTACATTGGCTGGGCTGATTAAATTTATTTTCTAAATGATATAATCAGTATTTAGTGAAGAGCTGTGTACAAAGGATTAAGGTGAAATGCAAAGATGAGAAAGAATACACCTTTATTAGTTTGAGAAAGCATAAACTTTTCTTAAATTTTCTGCCCAACTATCAATCTCTCAGTGACTTAATTTGCCTTAGAACAAATATTATAAAGAGCTGGTCTGGCCCAGCCAGGGTGGCTCAGTAGTTGAGTGTCAACCTGTGAATCAAGAGGTCACAGTTCAATTCCAGATCAGGGCACATGTCTGGGTTTCAGGCTCTATCCCCAGTGTGGGGCATGTAGGAGGCAACTGATCAATGATTCACTTTCATCATTGATATTTCTATCATTGATGTTTCTATCTCCTTCTCCCTCTCCCTACTTCTCTGAAATAAATAGCTAGCCTGCATAGGGTAGATGGTGATGGGGTGGCAGCTTCTACTTTATGTTCCTATTATAATATGTGGCTTGCCAGTTGCCATTCTTCAGTTGCTATTCTTCTCTAAGCACTAAAATTTTTCTCTTAGTGATTTCTGGAGCTAATATACAATGGCTGTTTTGTGGCTTTTTAATAACTTTCTGGACAGTGGCTGTGTTGGTGTCATCTTAAAGAGATTTTTCAGAAGCCATATTTTCAGCATACCCTTTAGCAAGACCTCAGAGGGCTGGGAAACCATAGGCAAGGACAGGATAGTTTAGCAAGTACCTTAGAATCATTGAAGAAACAACTCATAGTGCATACTGTTCTGATATTAGATTGGAAGTAATATCTCAGTAGGAGATGTTGTCAGTTTTCAGAGATGCTTTGGTTGAAAACCAGAGTCAAGCTAAAACATAAAACCTTGTCAAACTGATGTGCTGTCTTATCCATCAAAGAGCTACCATCAGATTTTTTGTGGAAGTATTTATATAGAAGTATTTATGTGTGCAGGTTCCACTTATTTTTTACACCAAATTGTTCTTGATGAATGTCCATAGCATTTTAAATCTTAATCTACATAAAAATTATCATTTTAATTTTCTTCAGTTTCCTGGGAACTTTTGTTTTTATAAACTCAAGGCATTGTGGTACCAAATATAGCAAAGAGAAATTAGTGGCTCAAGTAGAAACTTGGTGATCAGAGATCCTCATTTATCAATTTTAGAATTATCTA